CCAGTTCTGAAACTATTAGACAACTTATTTAATTGATACTGTCGCTTTTAACTCAGAGCAATACTTCTACTTACTTACTACTTACTTACTTACTACTACTTACTTACTTCTTCTAATACGTCAAGACTCAAGTTACGCGCCAATCTATCCATACTTCTAGTGACATTGACAGCTGTCAGCTAGGGACGTGACGTTTATGCCGATAATCTAGAGTTGCGCCAATTCTATAGCACGGTACTAATTTTATTCCTAACAGTACTTAGCTTAGAGATTCTAATTTTTTAAATTACGTTTTATTTCGTTTGAACAAATAAAATGAAAAAAAAAACTGATCCTGAGCAAGACTACAACAGAAATAAAAATAAAATAAATCAAGACAGTAATTAAATTCAACATAATAAATTGGTTTTGATTAAAAAATTATATTATAATTGGAATGGGACCATGCATAGCTTTGATAGCAAATGAATTAACTATGCCTTAATGAGCTTGTGATACTTTTTATTCAGTCTATATGTTCCTCCAGACTATCCTTACTGTTATGCCAAATTGCATCAAGATCCATTAACAGTTTAGGCTACAAATCTGTGTGATTTTATTACACACATAAAAAAATAAATGCGTTTGTCAGGCGACGCCCGCGGTGCCCGAGGCGTCAGTGGAGCCCCCGATGAACGCCGGCGTGCCGCCCGTGCCCGCGCCCGCGCCCATGCCGCTGCTCTGGCAGCAACAACGACAAGGTATTTACCAAATATCTCACCAGCTCCGAATATTCTACTAATTGTTGCTCAGAGTTTTAGGTATAGCGGTGTACAAGCACTGCGCACATGTTGATGATCTTGAGCTACTATGATATTTGAAATGACTTATATATTGGTAGATTTAGTTATGTTTAGGTAATTTTCTTAGAGTAAAAAACTCCCACAAGGGGAGGGAATATGTGTACATATTGCATTGATTTTCATTTTTTGACAATATTTTTTTTCTATGTTTTTTTATATGTTGATATGTGAATTAATAATATGAATAAATCTGGTTGTAATATGTCTGATTACAGTATTGTAAAGGTATAATTTTTTTAATATGTTTTGTATAATTTCTCATTTCAATTGAATTCGACCTTACAATATGTGCAATTATATGCTTAAATTAAATACGTTGTGTATTTGGTTATACTGATCTATCGGCCTATTGGAAATTCATCCCATTGTACCGATTATAGCATCAATCTGCCTAACAGAAAACATGCAGCTATTCCACTTTTCAGATAATATGTTGAAAAATTGTAAGATGCTTTGAAATATTTGTGAGGTGTTTTATTCGTTTTTCTTAATTTTTAATGTAAAAGATATTTTTTTAATTTATTGAATTTCCATCTCCAGTGGTGCTAGACTCTGCTATCTTGGGCGTGCTGCCATCCAGCGAGTTGCTAGGCGCACGACGCGTGCTGCCGCCGCACGCGCACGCGCACGCGCACGCTCATGCCCACGCGCACGCGCACGCGCATGACGCGCCCGGCCCGTACGCGCCGCTGCCGGTCGACCCACTCGTCGTCAACTTCGAGGAAGGTATGCGTCTCTACTGAAATTACATGTACTAAGCACCTCGTATAACAGTTTGGGAACTACGCTTCTTATTGTGAGCTTTCATTGATACTCCATCGAAAATATACATATATGTATGAAATACTGTACTTTTTGGGTCTAACAGCCTTTTAAATAAATGCAGTATAAAGTTAAACTTATGAATAAACTGAGTATTAGTAAATATAAGTACAAATTTTGCTTATACTCTGTTCATTCCCAAGTTTAAATTTATACCCCGTTTATTTGTATGGCTGTAAGTATTTGAGTTTTCGATTTTTAAATTATGTTTGTGTATGGCAGCTTGGTTTTTTTATAGTTTAATTTTAACCAATCTGTTTTAAGTTCATTAAACATTTAAGTTAATTAATATAAAACTCTAATTAAATCAGGTTTTTTTTTTTATTTTAGAAGTACAACAGTTCTTATTAGTAGTTGGAAACTATAAAATTTTTATTAATTTTGTCTTACAATTTAATTAACAATTTGAATTAAATTTCAATATTTTTCTTATGTATTTAATCATTAAAATAAATAAGGAATTGCCTTTTCGATGGATTTAATCAATATATAGTTGCTTTACTAGATTTAGTAATGCTCACAAGATTCCTAAACTGTTGGGTGCTTTTAGTACATATGAAATGAAAAAATTGTCATTAATATTGACTTTGTAGTAGAACGCAATAATGCGACCGAAATATCGGCTTATATACGATGTAATACGTCACTGAGTCTCACAGTACATAAGGAAATATATTAAGAAATATTTCTAGGGACAGGATAAAAAGTCTTTCTAAAATTTTTAAAATATTTTTTTCATAATATTTTTTTTTGTTTGAATGTAATAACTTAAAAAAACCATACAAACGAATTGAGTACCTCCTTCTTTTGGGAAGTCGGCCAATAATATGAAATTTATTTAAACATATGATTCAAGATATAAAAAAATGTCTTATGTAACTTTTAGGGGAAAAATTAAGTAATGAAATATTAGTTAAAAATTCAAACATCGCAAAATAGTATGGAAGGTATTCAAATATTTAACAAGAATAAAAATTCACAAAGAAAATAATGGTGAAATAATTTTACTCAACATAACAAATTCCTAGTCAGAGATGTTATGTGAAATAGGTAAAAAAAATAGAAAGAAATTAAATTTTAAATTTATATGTACACTATCTTGTCTGCTTACAGTCAACTGTATAAAAATTAATACATTTACAAAAGCTTACAAACTTGTATGGCTTCGGTTTTAAAAATAAGCATACATGTATTCATAAACAACATATACAAATTTATACAAATGGATATTTAAGTAAATATATGTTTTTAAAACCAAAATTGTACAAGCTTACGTTTTGTAAATGTATATTTATATACTGTACTGGAAAAAGGTATTTTTCCGAGTTTTTTCATTTACTAAAATAGTTATAAAAACTGAAAACTGTTGTGATTATGAAATAAGATAAATGTGTGAATTTTAAAGATTTAAAACTTTTTATCGTGTCTCTAATAAAAATATATCTATAATAGGTATTTGTGGGACTGGTGCGTTTTGGAGCGATTGTAGCGTAGGGCTAAGATTTAATTCGCTCACTTAACTTATCTCTGCTTAAGTTACGGCACTAACGCATTACAATCTGTCTATCATATATAAAATACATAACTTGACAGAATAATGCCTAATTTTATGTGCCAATACAACCCTCAATATATAATTCGAAGAGGGTACGTTCTTTAGATTTAAAGCAATATTTATTTTTGTTTCTAGTTTTTATTCAATAAGATTGTTTTTATTTTACACATGTAAAAAACTGGGAAGTTTTATAGATAGATTTCAATGATTTTTTAATTATAAAAAGTGTATAGTTTTGTTTCACTTCTCAGTTTTTTTTGGATTTAATATTAGTCTGTTATATTTATAAATATTTCTCATTGGATTCAGTTTTTCGATTTTATATATTGAAAAAAAGTTGTTTTTTTATGCTAGTTTTTTTGTGAGGCTGAATCCGAAGAGAATGTTTATATATGTTTCATTTAATTTTAAAATAGTAAAGTTTTTAGTTTGCCAGAGGAGGGGACTTTTCGTTGTAATGGACGTTTATATTTGAAATGCAAATAATCGAGAGTTGAACTTGGTCTGTGTCCACTCTCGTAGTAAAATGCCGAGTCGGTATTTTTATATGTGCAATAAATTAATATATAATGTAACCTTTTTTCATATCTTAGCTAAATAGATTCATAATTATCTCGCTTCATTGAAATATAGCGATAGATATAATATAGCGGAGCAGTCATATTTTTAATATATCGAGTTGACTGCCGATCTTTGAAAATATGACTGCAATAGATCTTTTTGTTTTTTTTATATAGATGTTGATATAATCCTTGTCTATGATAGTAAAAGTACATAATAAAATAGGTTAATATATGGAAATACAAATAAAAATATATATACACGAATTGTAAACTCATTAATTGTAAGAAGAGAAGAGAAACAAAAAATGAAAAAAAAAGCTTAATGCCTTTAAATTGTTTGTTAGTGAGTAGGATGTTAAAGGGGCTTAGCATTATAATATTGCTGTCCCGCTCACTTAGTACTGCGCACCGTGAGATAGATAGAAACAAAGTGTAAAATGTTTTTTAGATAATAAATTTCATTACTGGCACATCACTATCTGACGACTGAAATATGCAAACACCTATGTACAGATAAAAAACTATATTAAATGTGCTCTCTAATAAAATATCGCGCTTTTCAATAGGTATTACAGAATTTCGAAGGAAAAAAAAAAAGAAAAAAAAAATTAAGCGTAAAAATTAGTTAGAACTATTTGGTAATACAATTAAAGCTTACGATTAGAATTTTCTTAAGATTGTGATTTTTATTATGTCAGTCGTAATCCGGTATCTAAATTGTTTTTATATTTTGCACTAAGAAAGTTCCTAATATACTACGATCACAAAAAAAAACAACACAGAAAAGTTGAATAGTTAAATTTATTTAGGGTCCATCGTACGCCTAGTCATTATTTATGTATGGAAAATTGTCAATGGTTTAAAAGGAATAAAAAAAATAAAAAAAGACTGACTCAAGTCAGTTAATTTTTACATCATTCGCTGTCCAAAATTCTCTTACTTTTCAATAATTAAAATTTCATAAGTAGTCATATATTTTTATATTTTGTTAAATTAGAATTTATTAGCTAAACTTGTTTAAATTGTTTCTCAGATTCAATTTCATCTGTGAATCTGACAAGCAGTCGCTTGACTAACTTTTAATGTTTACAGAGGACATAGCACGAAAATTAATGAGAATGTATATGTAACTTCATTAACAAAATTTGTGTAAGAACTGTGTAGCTCCTTTCGGTAAATTACACGAAATCTTATACAAATTTTGTTAATAATGTAAAGACTATTTTCTTGCATATTTTCGTGTTAGGACCTCTGATTGAACTATCTTAAGTATACTAAAATATACTTTGTTAAAGATTTCGTGAAAAACTAAGATTTTGTGTAATTAATACGTTAATTTTTCACAATTAAAGATGAAATTGTTTCCCGTTGGGCTGATATGACCACCGATGAATTGACTCGAAGGGATTTTTCCCATTGGGTCGATTGATTCTATGGATTCGGTCCACCCAATAGGATTCTTATCCTATCGGCCCAATAAGAAACCCAATCAACGGTTTCTTGAAACCAAATTTTCAAGAGATTTGGTTACTCTGTGCAGGGAGTAGACATGAATTCTGCAAATTAGATGTTTTTGTAAACTGGATACTAGAAGTGATACAAAGTATCCACATTTGTATTTTTAATGTGTGCAATTTGTTACTTTTTTCATATAAACTAATACAAAAGACAGAGATGGAGAATTGCTAGTGAATTGGAACTTGTTGCACCCATTCCGAGTCCTGTCCACACCACATCGGGTTGTTTGTTCATTTAAACTTAGTTATTAAAGATATTGCATACATTACATAGCGTTGAGTGTGTTAGGCGATTTTCATTTAAGCTAGTTACTGATTATAGGAACCGGTATTTGGTGAAAACATGTAATATTTTGGCTTTGTTTTTCGATTTAAAATTGTATTTTAATTATCGAACCACTAAATAAAAACGTTTCGTAACATGATTTTTGTAATTATTTTTGACCGCCCCTCCCCGCGACGCTTTCAGTACGTCTTCGGCAGGAACACGCGGCGGCCGCGCGACGGGCACAAATAATTACGAAAATCATTATACCGTTGCCCGACGCGTTCTAAGGCCGCTTCGTGTTCTTGCAGAGTCGGACAACGAGAGTGCGCCCTCCTCCACTCCTACTAAGACAGCCGCCTCGCCCGACGACCCCACCAAAATAGCTCGCACCAAGTCACAAGAACTATTACTGTTAGAAAAGATACAAGCAGAAGCAGCGGCATTCTACAGCTACGAATCACAACCGACACCTGAACAGACAAACGAAAGGAAAATCGTCAGAACAAATCTCACATCGAAGTACGACAGGATATCACTCGACGAACTAGCGGGTAAGAAACAGAACACAGATACAAAAAACTCTCTAGATTTTAAAGTACTATCACTAGACGAAATAAGAGCGAAGAAGAAAGGGACGGAAATAATAAAAACGACACCTATAAAATTGAATATAAATAGAAAAAGAAAATTATCAACACAAGAGATAAATACCACAACAGGTAATAAAATAATCAAAATGGTTAGAAGCAATTCTATAGTCTATAAACAGGTTGATAAAAACCCTCCGACTAATCAGAATAAAACTGGAATCAAACGTAATGAAAATTTGAATAGAAAACGCACGCTGTCGGAACAAAGCGATATTTATGAGCAAGAAGATATAGAATTAGTAGATAATTGTTATGAATTTAAAAGAATTAAAATAGGCGAACACACATCGAAACCTAGATTAATTAGGAATAGACAATCTAGTAATTGCACTTCGAACAGTGAAAGTAAAGACGATGATATCGAATTTAATAATAAAACTGATGATTCAGACTCTGAAGTACAATTTGTTAGTATAGAGTTATCTGAATGTGAGGACAAATTATCAGATACTGAAATAATAGATGTAGATACAACGAAAATGGCGGATCCTGTAGATATTGTTGATTTGTGTGAAGATGTTGAAGACGAGATATCGATAACTAATTTAGATTTAGTCAAGAATGTTCCAGATGTAGTCGCGAGCTGTCATAAGAAAATACCAGAGAATACCGACAAAAATATACTGAATGACATCGATGCTTTATTAGACGATGATTTATGATCGTTTATATAGTCTCCACTGTCTTACTGTAAAGAAATATTGTGATCTCTTGTAGAAAAGACAGAAAACAATATATTATGCAAGTGTTGAGAAGTCCACGGTAAGGATCGTACAAATTTTCACATAGTTGAAATTCTAGTTACATGAATTTTAAAAAAATGTTCATTTTGAACATAAAATCTCATAAAAGTTTTTTTAGGATAAGTTTTTAAATCTACATTTTGTAGATGATTGTTTACACACGACACAAGGATTTTTAAAGTGTTCAGAATTTTATTAGGTTTAGTAAATTAGTGAGTGTAATTAATTTAGCTAAAATTTTACAAAAATTGTAATTAAAATGGTTTACTGTAGCCTTAGAAATCTGTATTGTAAAGTTGTTTTATCAAGTAGCAATAATAATTACCACAACAAATTCTCGCAAGAATACGTCATTTCAAAAAAACTATTTTATGTACAGTAAAAATGGGCTTATTATTTTAAAATACTTCCGACAAAAATGTTTTTCTCAACGCATGTCGTTCATTTCGTAGAAAATAAAGTCACAAGTTAATTATTTTTAAGCAATACTTTGTAAGTACTGGCAATATTTGTAGGCACCTAGGTGTAGGATGTTCAGAGCTTTAATTATAATAATTTGAAGTATGAGTGTTCTTTTTTTTTTCACTTTATCTTAACCAATTTATATTGACAAAAAATCCAGGATAAACCCCAGTGTCCTGTAAAAGAATTAAAAACTAATATTAATTGTTTATGAACTTTATTAATATATCATGATTTGGTACATTATTTTACATATAATAAATAAATGCTTGTAATTATTTAATATTAAAAAGCAAACATACATAAACTTGAAAGGATCACAAACATTTAAAATCAACCTCCTCAATATCGACATTCCAAAAATATACTCCGGTTTATTCGATCGCTGTAAAATTGATACAAATATTAAAAACTACGAATTACAATCAACCTCGGGTTTTTATATCTATGAAACTAGCCTCAGAAGCAACAAAAAGAACGAGACAAACATATTTCTGCGACACAAGTGGGACAGAGATAGACATATTTCCAACGTTATATTTTGCTAACTTCAGAGATATAAAAGCCGTGGTATGATTTATTGCAATTATTTTCATTATTTCAAATTTTAACGTACTACTAATGAGTGCTCAATGCTACCAACATTACCAAAATAATCGATGTATGAGAACAATTGTAAGTGAACATTTTAATAGATATCAAATTTAACATTCTGAACAAACATGTAACAAAACTTCACCAGTCAACATCGTACTAACAAATCGGTCGAGACATTCGGTATATCGAATTTATAATTCATGTCGATTAAAAGAACCGTCACATCGATAACTGGTTAAAAACACAACACATTTAATGAAAACAAACACTACATTTATATACAGGCTTGGGTTACCACTGCCAACAAACTTGCACAAAACATTACTCAGTTTAGATATTTTTCTACAAGTCTTTCGGGAGTGAAAACTTACAGAAAACAAACATATAGGTCAAAACATAAAACTTGGATTTCAAAAACAATTGTTTAGTATAGTATTTTTCAATTATCTTATCAGTTTAGAACATTATTATAGTGCAGAACATAATTTTAGCTATAGCACGCGCAACCGTTCTTGATCCGACAGGATATTTGAAAAATAAAGGGTATAAAATCAAACATGCATTATATTTTTAAAACTAAACATACAAAATTGTATTTCATTAAACATACAATTTGGTATGCATAGTGTTAACAAAAATTGGACTGAAATGTATTTGCTGACCCTCAATTTTAAATTTGACAATGATGTTTGTCTGTTACACACGAAAAAAAAATCAGTCAACATTTATATGAAAAAACTCGTATGCATTGTTCCATGTTAATGATAAAATAGTATATAAATATTGAGAAAAAACATGAACAATACACAAGTACTTAGCAATAATGACAGTGAAAGATGAAGTGAAATTGAAAAAATTTGTACATTGAAAAACCAATACTATGGGAATGTTTGGGTTACAATTTGTAATTCAGTTCATGGAAAATATAGGAAATTAAATACTAAAATTGGCCTCATCTCAGCGTCAAGTTTTACTAAAAACCTACTAGACGATTGCCAACCTTTAAATTAAATAAATAGTCAACGCGATCAGTCCAATTCAATCTAGAAACAAAAATTACAGGCAACATAGAAATAATTCAATATGCAAATTATCAATTGTAGTTTTCTATTAAAGAAGGCTACATTGATCGCTCGTTAAAAATCTTCATAATAATAGATTATTGAAACTATTTTTTTTGTCGTTATTTAAAATCACTGACGTTTAAATTGAATCTATTTTAGTAACGATTCGAAGCGGGATATTTTATTATAAAGTCGAATAAGTGTAGAATAAACAATTCATTGGGGCATACATTTTTTATGTCTATTTCTACAAAAATGTGCATTCGAGTGCTTCAAATTTTACGTCCGAAATTATCTACAAGGAATAAAAACTTGTCAACAGCAATTTTAATGGTCGACAAGCCTATCTACCAAAAGGCAAGAAACCGTAACGATTTCGTATCAATTCTCATATAAAACCTTTATTTAAACCCCCCGTACCACGTCATTCACGATTTAATTTTAAAAGCGTCTTATACCCTGCTAATTGCGATACTGTTCCTCGTATTGTCATGTTCAACACGTTCCGTGGTAGGGGGGCGGGACGTATCGAGCCGCACTATAGGCCATACAAACTCCATACAATTACAACTAAAACTGCCGTAGGAACTAAATGGTGAAGCGCACCGGAGATTCACTGACATCCTCACACTGGACAGCTAATTGAAAAATATAGCTTTTTCTTTTAGACTTAAAATGTTTACATTATTCCAGTAAAGTAGGCCAGTGGTTGAAGCCAACATCTGCGTTACTCTAATACTGACTTGATGTAAATTCGGCATTACTGTCAGAATTCTAATAAATCTATGTTAAATTTCATGATCTCTACTTTTGTTTTACATTTTTTTGCTAGAACCAATCGATAGCAGCGCTTCTCATCTGGATATCTTTGACTAGTTTCCAACCGCTATCGTTAAAATTGTAAAAATCTAACAAACACAAAATATCACGGCATTGTCCAGCGGGATAGTCAGTGATGAGATTATTTCCTCTAGAAGCTAACTAGTGCGGTAACACCTATCTAGTATAACATAAGGTCTAAAATCGTACGCAGTCTGGATCTATTTCTTTGAGGAGCTCTTGATCTGCTGCAGCTTGAGGCGCAGCGCGTCCATATCTGCTTCATTCCTTTGTGAAAATGACTGCGCTGTATGTAACTGGAACAATAAAAATATACAATATAAGCTAGATTTTTTATACGATAGTTATTATGTACTATCTTTTGCTCCATTAGTATTTTTATACAAAGTTTATATGTTTTATAGACAGTTGTCAAACAAGTTTTTTGTTATAAACTAAACAGTGTTACAAAATAAAATATAAACATTTAAATAGGGATGTGGGAAAGGGACCATAAACTACAACCTGTCAACATTAAGAAAGCAATTGTCATTTGTGCGTTGGGTTTATTGACAAATTGTGACAAACGTAAATAATAAAATAAAGTAAAAGGTTAGAGTGGGCATGTTATGAGTCGTTGTCGCCATGTCGATGTCTCTATGTTATACGACGAAACGATAGGGACATAAACCTGAAAGTGTTAAGAATAAATGTGGATGGCTACAAAGGAAGAGGAAGACGGAAAAAAGTATGGATGGATTGTGTGAAAGAGGATATGCTTAAGAAAGGAGTGGATTCAGATATGACGGCTGATAGAGATGTATGGAAGAGCAGCACATACTGTGCCGACCCTCCGTAAGGGATAAGGGCAAGTTGATGATGAAGCGGCACGGGAATATGTAGAAATGTATAAGTGGCGTACCTCTAGCTGCGGGTCGATGCTGTGCGCGCGCGGCAAGCTGCCGTCGCCCAGCGAGTCGGTGAGCGCGCGGTTGTCGCCCACCGGCGTGCGCGGCTGAGACGTCGGACTAGAGTCTATCTTCAGACCTGCCTTTGCCTGCAAATTACAAACCGATAAATAAATTTTGATTATGACTACATCTGTAAATGCTAAAATTCTACAACTATAAATCTTACTAATATTGTAAATGCGAATGTTTAGATAGATGTATGTTGAGTTTGTAGCATAAACGGCTGAACAGATCTCGATGAAATTTGGCATAGATGTAAAGGATAGCCTGGAAGATCACACAGGCTGGATTTTTAATTCCACGCCGACGGAGTCGCGGGAGAAAGCTAGTGAATAAATAAACTTATTGTTTCACATTAATTAACATTTAATGGAGTCTTGGCTCTTGCATTAGAGTCCCCTGTTCAGGAGCAAATCCCTTCCCCATTAGTTAATAACAGAACAATTAGCGCCTTAATAAAGTAACAATGAAAAACATTATAATTAGATTTTATTTTTAAATTGACAGAGAAAATTACATATGTTATTGTAATGGACATTATTGTACCTGTAATGCTCGCAATCTCTCTAGAAAGACGACATGTGACTTTTCATCGGTCTCGTTGTTGATATCTGGAAAAGAAAATCTGTTAGCTTTCACTTCAAAATCTATCATATTTCTATTCGTAATTAGTGTTAGATAGTCTTAAGTTTCAACAGATTTAAACTCTAGCTACATAGAGCAGGAAACGCATTTAATGAAGATATCGAACCAAAAACACTAACGGATGGTTAAAGGTAGCTGGGAAACCGGCCACATATCTCACTAATATTATAAATGAGAAAGTTTAGGTGGATGGCTGTAGGTTTGTTAGAGTTTGTAGCCTAAACTGCTGAACTGATTTCGATATAATTTCCCATAGAGGTAGAGGATAGTCTGGAAGAATACATAGGTTACTAAGTTTTGTTTTTTTTTTTTTTTTAATTCCACGCGATCGGAGTCGCGGACGATATAAATATCATTTTAGTCGTATTATTAAGCACGTACCCATATTATCAGTTTTGTAGTCATGTTTGTAGACGGGCATGGTGGCCGCCTTGCGCAGCTCCGCCACCTCCTTCAGGCCGCGCTCCACGTAGTTGCGGAAGTAGAACGAGGAGCCTTTCATAAACGTCCAGATGTCCACTTCCGGATGCCGCTCCTGTAACGTTCATAAAAACAATGTCAAATAATTTAAATACACCCTTCTTTGACCAATTTTATAATGAAAATTAGTCAGCTTCGATTTTTTTTAATAATGTTACTTTGCATTATGCATAGTAGCAGAGTTTTGTTGTTTTCAAATCTTATCAAATTTTTGTTAATGTACTAACATTTTTTGTAACCATTCCAACTAATAAATAATGTAACATAAACATTTAGTTTATCCTTAGTAAAGCTGTTTCTCCCGACTTCGTAAACGTGGTATTAAAAAATTGTAAAAAACACAAGCTACGTTAATCACTTGACATTGCTTTTAATGGAAGAAGAATTTTGGAAATCCGCCTAGTTTATCATCTATAAATACATACAAAAATACAAATCCTTCTTTATAATATACTGGCTTTCGCACGCCCCTCCGTTGGCGTGGAATTAAAAACAAAATTGCGTAGCCCATGTGTTCTTCCAGACTATCCTTTACATCTATACTAAATTTCGTCGAAATCCGTTCAGCCCTTTAGACTTAGACTACAAACTTTAACAAACAAACATCCATCCATATAAACTTTCGCTTTTATAATATTAGTATGTAATAAAGATAAAAGTGTACTCACTCTAAGATCATACAGCTGTGACAGAGCTTCTCTCTTATGCTCCGTAGTACTAATTCTGTTCAATATTAGCGCCAGTTCCTCGTGCAGCGCTCGCGGCAGTCTGCCCGCGTGCAGCGCAGTGTTGGAACTCACATTGCCCACGTTGCCCACTCCGCCCACGTTGCCCACTCCTCCCACGTTCCCAACATTGCCCACACCACCAACATTGCCCACGTTGCCCACTCCTATAGGTGCGCCGTTCATAGATTCAACCATATTCTCCTTCTTATCGTCTTGTTTCAATTGCTGTAAGAATTATGGTCATTTTAACACTAACAGTACTATAACTTTGTCAATCTATACTAATATTATAAAGAGGAAAACTTTGTATTTTTGTATGTATTGAAATAACTCAAAAACCAGTGGACCGATTTTAAAAATTCTTTCACCATCAGAAAGGTAATTTATCGGTGAGTAACATAGGCTATATTTTATTATTACTAATGTTTAGGAACTATTAATAATAAGCGTGTTTCTGGACGCCAAAAAATTACTAAACTTTAACTTTTTTCGGCTTACGCTGCCTAAACCGTTAGAGATATATAAAAATAAATAACTAATATATAAATAACCAGTAATATTTCTACATCTATCAAAATATCCGATCAATCGTTCCGGAGATTATTCGAAACAAACACGGACTTAAAGACAAGCAATTATTTTAATAATTTTTCTTATCACAAAACGTATATAGATCAAATGTATCAAACTTGTTTTTTTACATATAGATACTCAAATAACTTTTTAAACAGTCAGAATAATAAAGCGAAAACACACACTTCTTTGTTGCCTAAGATGTCAGCACTTACAGCATATTTTTTGAATAATCCTTTTTTTTAATAAAAAGCCCTACACTAACTTCACGCTTTAGGCTATATGTTTTTACGCCATTAAACTTAGAGGGTAAACATTTTGGATAAAAATCCTAATGTGGGAAAGAGACCATAAGTTGCTGCCAACATCAAATAACCAAGATTGCTAAGGTTTGTCATGTCATGTAATTAAAAAAAAATTCAAAATTTCATGCGGGTGAAGCCGCACGGGAACAGCTATTTTGTATAAAATTCCCTAATTAATTAAGATCTAACAAATCATATCTTGAAGTATTTTAGTTTTTAATAATATTTAAACATATAATATTAATATTATTACCTTTAATACTTTGAACAGATACGGCAGGAGGTCGGATTCATTGACATCTGGTATTTGCTTAAGATGGTTTATTATCGCCCAGCTCTTCATCTTCACCAGCGTATGTACAAGTGTCTTTACAGTTCTGAAAACAGTAATAAATTTAATTAAAACATATGTAGATACAATATTCTTATGTCAAAACCTTTATTTACCCAACACAACATAATTTATTCAAATATATGTATACTTCAGTCACTTAAAACTAATTCGATTTGTATTCCTCAAAGGAGGTTAGGCGGGAATACATACGTCAGACAATAATTGGTATAGAAAATACTTCATATTACTGGTATGTGTATCTTTATCTATACTATTATAATAAAGCGTAAACACATACTTCTTTGTTTCTAAGATGTCGGCAATTACAGCATATTTTTGAACAATTCTTTCTTTAATTAAAAACCTTACACTTGTGTCACGCTTCAGGCTATATATTTTAACACCATTAAACTTAGGGGGTAAATATTTTCGATAAAAACCCTAATGTAGGAAAGAGACCATAAGTTGCTGCCAACATCAAGGAAGCAAGATTGCCAAGGTTTGCCATCTTATATTTTGACATTTGCTATTGATAATTTGACAAACGTAAACAACAAAATAAAATTTTCATAATTTCATGCGGATGAAGCCGCACGGGAACAGCTAGTTCTATTATACACTCAGATTTTTAGAATTAGTTATTAAATAGTTTTTGCTCACGACTCCGTCCGCGTGGAATTAAAAAAATAGTAAGTATGCCTATGCGTTATTCCATACTATCCTCTACATCTATGCCCATAGAGATCCGTTCTGCAGTTTACGCTACAAAACCTAACAAACATGTATCTAAACTGTCGCATTTATATTAGTAAGAGGATTAACAGAATATTACCTATATGGTGTGTCACTGATATCAGTATTTTTCTTCCAATAGTTATTAGGGTAAGCTTTATAGAAGAGATGTATCTTGTAGAGTACAGCGTCGTAGTCTATGGAGTTCACGTCCCATGTTGCTATCATTTTTAGAGTCTTCCAGAAACATTTCAGTAATAAATCTTGGTAGCGTGGGAAAGCCGGGTCTGATACGCCGATGGATTCGTGAAGTAATGATACTATTGCACTGCGAATAATAAAATTATGATTTTAATGGTCGTTTTACATTAGTAAATCAAAATCAGTGCAAGATTATAACTGGAAAAATATTAACCCACACAGTCTGTTGAGTAAAGGTATACTTCTGTAGCGCTGATTGATCACTGGATTGGGATTATGTAAGCCAGGTATGATTGCAACACTTTAGCAATCAAAATTATGGTCTCACGTCTATTGTAAATGTCGAACTGAATGTAATTTTTCAAATTATTTTCAAATAGATTCATATTCAGCACCTAAATATCCGACTCGAAGGACCAAAGACAATTTTGCTTATAAGCTACTATAAAAAGCACAAAAGCTTGAATAATCTAGTTACCATAGCAACGGGGTTCTTGGCGAATGTTCTAGAACGCTAACGCAGGCGTTGTTCAATATCCGCACGTAGCGCTCCGCGTCGCCCGCAGCGCCGCCCAGCGCCCGGAGCAGTTCCTTCAGCACTTCACTGAGTGCTTCCTCGTTGGCATTCCCGCCGCAATCCACGGCGTCATAGAACTGAAATGATAAAAGCATATACATGTTGAACATCATATATTACACTAACGATTCCAGCAAGGTATTAAATAAATAATTAGTAGCCTATGTATTCTGCCCTACTGTGCCAAATTACTTAGAGATCCGTATAGTAGTATAGGCTACAAATATACTTGGATTTAACAATTTTTGAGACAAAATTCAAAACAAATGTTGTTTAAACGGATTTCTTTCAAATATCAGAATAATTAAATTTTCTTTAACAATATTAATTAGTATTATATGTAACAGTTCAAATAGATTATAGTTTAAGATTAGATAATTGATATTACATAAGCCTGTATGGCTAACAGAATTATTATGCAGTAAGCACATAAGTCTATCTAATGAACTAATGGAATAAATTATGCAATACTTCTATCCACTATTATTGTTTACAAAGTGCCTATAACTATATTACTTAAGTAAACACATTTTATTTTAAGTTTTTATTACACTATACTATAACCAATTTATATACCAGTGCGGTAAACATAAAAAATTTAATTTAACTACTTATTCTAAAGTAGTTAAGCATTTAGCTTAAGTGTAACGGAATATATAAAAACAATAACAGGATGGTGCACTATCGATAGAAGCATGTTTCCACAAAAACCCTATCTGGGGTACAAGACCCTTTTTAAAACCAAACGTGCATCCAAAAATTAATAAATCTCGTGATTTTGCTATTGCAATTTCGATATCATTACTGACATTTTAAATCACCGAAAACCAATAATTTTTAGAATTTTTGACCAACTTGCAAGGTTACTAATTTGTCTGCATTTTTTGTGTTACCGCATATCTTCGGCCCTGGTGAACCGATTGTGATCATTCTTTTTTTTATCCGAAACGTAATGCTAGCAGGTGGTTTTTACATCGCAGTTACGTGTCTCAATCCAACTTCGGCAATTTTTTTAACTGAATTTTAGACCAACTTTCCAAAAGAAGTTTATCGATTTGTCTGTATTTTATGTGTTACCGCATATCTTTGGCTCTGGTGGACCGATTTTGATAATTCTTTTT